GTTACCCCACCGATCGGGCTCAGACCCCGGGCGTCGGAAGGCCATTGGAACTTGCCGCCCATCGGTTATGGCCATTTAGAGGGGGCAAGTAAATCTAATTTTTGCTCATTTCCAGCACTTAGCCTCTCAGCTTTACGGTGCGAGCACCGGCAGGTCGGCGTCAAAGTAAACCACCGTGCGGCCTCGCAAGGTCACGACCCGGCAGACAGGCCTTACTCGGAAAGTTTGCGGACTTGCGTGCGAATGCTACAGTTGGTGGAGATAATGCGATTCCCACTTGTACGCGTGCGTTCTTGCACATTCATCGCCGGGACGAGGAAGTAGGGGCAAGGACTTGGAATACCCACGTACCTGGATACCAGGTATTATCCGAGATTTCGAGAATTGAATACGGGAATGATACTCAAAATAATCAGATAAACGTGTACATACATGGCACGAACAAACTAAGAGTGACGTTTGAAATGTCACATCATTTAATTATTCACAATTTTCAAGCTTTGGTAATTAATTGTCTCTATACTAGCTCCGTACCAAATTTATTAAAATTAAATGCTAATTATTAATTATACAGTGTATATAATTGTTTAATGTATATAAAATTGAATTGATATAATATAAATTAATACAAATAAAACATATATAAATAATTATATTTAAAATACAAGAAGTGTAAGAAGCGTAATTATATTTAAACCGTGACATTTCATACGCCATCCTATACATATTGACAAATTTATCTATAATATTTTGTAACAAAAAGTAAGTCTTAAGTTAAGAATAAGGCTATTTTAACGATTTTCGTCAAATGTTCTTGATTCAATGCACGCGTGTTAATTTAAATCCGATTTACATATCCAACAACGTCAAATATTCGTAGACTTCATAGAGAATATATTTAAGCTGTTAATTCATATGCAATGTAAATTACAACGACGGCAGGAAGAACACGATGTATCTTGAGAATATACATTCTACCAATTACCGTTAAAAGCGTAAATGGGAGCAGAGGTACCATACCATTGGTAATGGACCAACATTTTCAACGCGAATGTACACTGCAATCCCCCGCAGACTCGCGAGCCACGACCGCTTGGGAATCGCAGAATTGTACAGAAGAATTTCTGTCACTGCCCACGTATACACCCCCGTTTCCATCGTCGTAAAACAATATAGTGTTAAGTGCATCGTAGTATCTCAGATGAGTAGTTGTGCTGTAGGAATTTTCCTTCCCCTTTGTGACTATCGCCTTGCTTCGCGGATCATTTCGATAAATCGAGTATCGCACTAAATCACGCGCAACATTAGAAGCGACTACTTAGTTATTTAACACGGCGTTACTAATGTTCATTTTTTTATATTAATGCAGATTAACTTTAATTTCGATTTAACTTATTCATTATCTTTTTCTAATTCTTAGAATTAAAAAAAGATGAAAAATAATAACCTTAAATAATTATATAGAACAAGAAAAAACTAAAATTGATTGCTACATTATATCAAAATTGTTTGCAGCATTATATTCATCATGTTGAGTTTCCTATATATTTATTTTGATAGAGTTTATCAAAACTATTTTCTTTATCTAGTTACATTTTATACTTCAACAAAATAATGGGTCTTCAAACTTTAATGCACATTTCTATATTATTTCGGACTGTACAAAAATGTGAACAAATTCTTATATACTAGAAGTTTAGTAGAAGTTTTAACGAGTTTCTACTACTTCATAGAAGTTGGATTGTATTTTTCTTATTTTGTACAGATTTAAATTTATCTACCAAAATTCACAATCAAAAAATCGAAATGTGCCTTTAACTTTACGCTGAAAAAATACTAAATTTTAATAAATATTTGTTTGAAGTTCTAAATATTTACTAAACATATTTATTTGATACAAAAATCATTAATTTATATATAATTTTTTTTTATTGAATAAATATTTATTAGAGAAAATATCCGAAAAAATCCACTGGACTCACGAATACCGATTATTGTTCCAACATTGTCAGCGGAGGAATAGTACCTATTCTTTTCATAATTCCCTGTGTGTCATCGTAATAAAAATTTTTTTAACGATTTTGTATCACACCAATCTCACAGAAATAATTTTGGTTCAAATTAAATTCAAGATACTAAAAAAAATTTCATATACGTTATTACGACTCAGGCTCTCAGATTAACTCGAATTTAACGAATCTCATCTTACAATTAGCAAACATATTTTCATCTTGATAATGAAAACGGGTTAACAGAGTTTATTTACGTCTGTTTCGTGGCTGTGCCTGCGCAATGGCCAGACAACATTCGCGCGCGTCCTCTCTCCGTTTGTCGATTAGCCATGAACTCGGCTGATTTTTTTTCGAAGCGCGGCGTGTCATATTATTCGCGAGGGGAAAAGGCAGCCTTCGACAGCCTTCCGTGCGATTTCACCGATATCGGATCCCCGTTCGGGAACAGTCGGGGCTAAGGGTCGCGGCTGCTGTGTACATGGAAAATGTTTCATGGGCGAAGCGGAATATCGATTAGCATTAATCGAAAACCTCCAGTCTCACAAAAATAAAGGTGCAGAGAAAGGGCGTAAAAAAAGGGGGTTAAAAAATATAAATGTACCGATTATTGCGAAGAATATTACTAAGACCTCGGTAGTCTAATGGCTTAAGACGCTCGTACGGAATATAAGAGATCCGAGTTCGACTCCCGGCCGAGGTAATATTTTTCGCAATAAATTTAATTACAGTTTTTCCAGCATATTAACATCTTTAGAATATGATGCCTGATTGAGCATCGAAATTATTAGAAATTAATTTAATTCGCGAGATTACTTCAGTAGTTTAATTGCGTTTATATAGTCTGGAAAAGAGAATTCGGTGCGTAGTTCGAAAGACTATAAATATGATATATATGCAAGTATATATATATATATAGTATATTTAGTAATTCAAGATTGAATTATTTAAGCATTAAAGATCCAGCTTGGACCGTTATAGGCATTTTAATATTGATTGTGTTCTCACATAACGGTCTAAAAAATATTTCTGTACGTGATATTTTTGACGGGATAAGAACGTATAAAAAAACAAAGTAAGTAGTGCAGGGAAAG